CAAATATAACACCAAAAAGTTTCAGATTTTGCAAAATATAACACTAAAAAGTTTCAAATTTTGCAAAATATAACACCCACATATTTAAGATTTTGCAAATATAACACCAAAAGGTTTCAGATTTTGCAAATATAACACCAAAAGGTTTCAGATTTTGCAAATATAACACTAAAAAGTTTCAAATTTTGCAAAAATATAACACCCACATATTTCAGATTTTGCAAAATATAACACCCACACGTTTCTCAACAAGGCCAACCGAGCTCAAGCAAAAGGGACAAACCGAAATTAGCAAAAAGGAGCAAATCAGTAAAATATTTCAGCCAACATAATGCACTAAAAGAAGCCCAAACTGAGCCCAAGAACATGGCCACCCGACCCCCGAACGTAATTTTGGACTCTTAAAAATAATTTCCAACATATATTTCATCAAAGAGGCAACAAAAAAAACAAGATGTGATCCCTAAACATAATTTTCCAACTTTGAAAGTGATTTCCAGCATGTTTTCCATCTAGGGGCAACAAGAAAAGCAAGGTGTGAGTCCCAAATGTAATTTTCCAACTTTGAAAAATGGTTTCCAGCATATCTTTCATCAAGGGGCAGCAAAAGAAGCAAAATGTGAGCTCCACATACATTTTTCAGCTCACAAACATAATTTCCTGCACGTATTCTGATGAGGGGCAGCAAGAGGAACGAAACATAAGCCCCAAATGCATCTTTTCCAATTCACAAAATAATTTTCAACATGCATTTCTTACTTTCAAAAATTTCAAGCAACGAAGGTAATATAGGCAGTCCCTAAGTATGTTTTTTCATATGTCCTAAAAGAGTAAAATGCATTCCAAGTCCACCCAACGATTTCAGATTTTTGCAAATCGAGTACTAACGGTCTCTGAATTTTACAAATTAACCACTAAAAATTCTCTATCATTTTGCAAATCGGACACCGAAGGTACAAGTATTGAACATCCACAAAAGAGTACTTTAAATCTCATAAGAAAGGTGTCCTTGAAAATTTTAGAAAATACAAATCTTGAAAGAATTTTATCAAAACCCATGTGCTAAATTTGTAGGTATATAAGAATTGTATGGCATGCATGTAAATGATTAAAATTCAAATGAGAGAAGTATAAAAGCATAGGAATTACATGACATGCATCAAGAGTTCTCCAAAACAAACTAGCAAGAGTCCCGAATTCCAAGCAGCAACTTTCAAATCTTCACATAAGAGAGGTTATCACACTTCTCATATTTTTGCAAGTTCATACTTATGTAAAAAATAAGAAGAAAAGCTCTCATGATACGAAATTTGTCATTACTATTTGTCATAACCAAACTACCAAAGAAGAGGAAAATTATAGGGAGCTTACCTCAACTGACCACTAAATCAGAAATGATGAAAGCAAGAAAACCCAAAACAAAAGTTCCAGAAATGAAGCTCCACCGAATTTTCAGCCCTGAAAGTTCCCCACAACACTTCCAAGAAGGTCTCAAGCACACAGGTAATGAACAAATCAAAGAAGATTTTAAGAGAAGAATTTTTGGCAGAACCTCCACACTCTTCAAAATTTTCGGCCAAACTCAAAACCCTCCCCAAGTGGGGTTTTTATAGCAAAGAAAGGAGAAGAGCAGCCACCTACCAGCCTCTCTAGTTAGCAAATCAGGTAAAGGGAGAGGATGAGAAAGATTTAAGGCAAGAGGAGATACAACCTAAGGCAGAGGAAGGGCCGGCCAGGGCGGGCCAGATGGAGTGCCACCGTTGGGAAGCTGCTCGGTCGAGCAGAGATCAAGGAGGCCGCGTGCGCGAATGGACCACGATCACTAGAGAAGAAGATCGCCGCGTGGTGGATCTGTCGTGGAGCTAGGGCACGGGCGAGGAGAAGTCGCGGGATCGAGCCGCTCGAACGAGGATTTTAGACGTGCGGGTGGAGCCGTAAATAAGGTTTAGGGTTTATAATTAAGATTATTAATAATATAAGTATGAAAATATTAATGATTTCAAAAAGTAAAATTTGATTTGTGCATTTTTATTAGTGTGTCACATCATCATAAAATGGATGTCAATTTTGGGTAATTCTGACGTTCCAGACGCGCTGGCGCAGTCCGTTTTGCCGTCAGAGGTCGCTTTGACAAATTCATCGATTTGCACGTCAATTTTCTCGTGTCGAAAGTATGGTAATATGGGTGTTCTTTCTTACCAAAATTGGTGTCCCGGACGCGTTGGCGTAGTCCAATTTGTCGTCGGAGGTCATTCGGAGAAGTTCACATTTTCACCCGTCCTTTAGGCTTAATTGAAGTCCGATTTCGTGCAACTCAGTGAATTTTGTGCATTTTGTGTGTGTATGTGACGAAAAAATCGTGACGAATGCTTTCCTAAGGCTTGAAGTCCATTTGGGAACTTTTTCCTTGAGTCTTCACAAAATAACCCATAACCGCTCGTTCATAAGACGATGGTCTTGTGCCAAAAATGCTAAACATCAAAGAAAAATAGGAACTGGTTGGAATTTCTAAAAGAGTGAGTCTCACTTCTAGTTTTCTAAGATGGTCAGTAGGAACTCCTAGAGCTAGATCCTAGGATCCTAGAACAAGAAATGACCTAAAAAATGAGGTCAACAAGGTGTAGGCTGTTGCACTTAATCCCCATGATCCTGACTGACAGTTACAACTTGCTCGACCTGATGAGGCAGTAGTGAAACAGTAGAAGTATTGCAACTTGTAATAAAAGTGATAGGTTCTAGGGCAAGTGGGGTCTAAAGAATCTCCTTCTTCTCACGCATGATAGGAGGTTCCAGAGGCGGTTGAATGGTTGTAAAATTGCCTGCGAGAATGGTGACGTCTTCGGCGACATTTTTTGGATGATCAATATTGTCAATAACTTGGAGTTGATCAGGAGGAGATGAAATCACTGTCTCTGACGGAGCACTGTACTTTTTTGGTCTGAGGTGTGGATTTAGATGGTGGCATTGATAACTGGAGTGACCGAACATAAGACAGTTTGAACAATACAAAAGAAAATGCTCAATCACTACCTTTTGCCAATACACATGATGCTGTGTGCCCAACCAAATTTCCTCAGAAGCAGATAAAATGATGTCTCTTTCAACAAGTACTCTGGCTTTTGATGGACTGGAAAGATTAAAAGTAAAAGTAGGACTGTCCGTTTTGAGTGGCTTACCATAAGCTGAGGCAATAACATACAAAACTTTTTGAGTAAAATAATGAAATTTCATATCACGGGCAAACCCAAACCAGAATGATCGGAGGTTCCGTCTGAGGGTCAAAATCTACAGACTATTTGAGAATCTTCATTGTTCTGTTATCAATCCAAATTATCCTTCTAGCAAATAAACGCGTGTAATCCTCTTCATTATTAATTTGTATAAGAATGTGTCTTCCATCTAACAGTCCAATTTTTCACTCCCCAACCAGGTGCATAAACTCAAATTCCTTACGAATTAGCTTCAATTTTGGATGACCATATAAAAATTCCCAACTAAATTCAGTCGACAAGAGGAGGCAAGTTGAACACCTTCAGTTTCTGTAAAAAAGATGGCAGGTTTCCCATTCTTCCTTCCAGGTTTCTTAATATCTTCCTCCCACTCAAACGGAGGAGGGA